GTTCCTACTATCTCTGCATTAAACAGTCTGCTATTTTATGATTCTAGCAAATAGGTTTGTGCCAGAGCAAGTTTGATTTCAGTGGTGTGCAGGTGGAAAGTAGTGGATTTTTTGCCAAAGATGGGGGAAACTTCGATGAGATTGGCCATTAGTGATATATGAAACTGTGTTTTCTTCCTCTAGATTCTCTCACAAGAGTAAACATCCTCTCAGCATCTACCCTGTCAAGGCCTCCCAGAATTTTATGTGTTTCTATAAGATCACCTCTCATTCTTCAAAACTCCAACAGGCATACAAGGTCCAACCTGCTCAACCTTTCTTCCCATACCTGTCTCTCGTTCCAGGAATCAACCTACTGAACCTTTTCAAAACTACCTCCAAGTCATTCCCTCCGTAAATAAAGGGATCAAAATTGTACACAGTATTCCATGTGGAGTTTCATCAATGGCCTGTACAGTTGTAGCAAGACTTCCGTACTTCTTTACACCACCCTTCTTGCAATAAAGGCCAATATTCCTGCCTCATTATCTCCTCAGCCTGCTTGCTATCTTTTTGTGATTCATATTTTCTCGATGCCTTTATTCTCCAGCATTGTGAAATTCTCTCTATTTAAATAATATTCCACCTTTTTGCCACTCTTGCCAAAGTGGATAACCTCACATTTTCCTACATTATAGTACATCTACCAATTTTCCCAAACTAGTACCTTTGTAGACTTATGCCTTTCTCACTACTTGTTTACCTAGCTAACTGTATATTATCAGCAAATCCAGCTGCTGTGGTAGGACTTGAGTCTACTTATGAGAGCTTAAGACTTTGAATTACTGGTTCAGTGACATTACTACTATGTCTCTCTCGCCTCTGCCATCAATTCATCCTTCTTGTTATGAATGTTCCATGCATTTTAAAACAAAAACAGCTCTTAATTCTGCCCTTTTACTAAGTTTCCCCACTGTGAGTCTTATTGCTTGCACACAATATGTTTATATACTCTTGTGCTTTTCTAAACATACTGATGATTGTTAGCTGCATAATTGCATTGCTCTTTCCCACTAACCTTCCAACTTTCACATGACACTTCTTCTCCCCAATTCATTTAAAATCCCTCTCTACATCACTTGATTTGCAACTCGCCAGGATTCCATTCCAACATTGCTCAAGTTAAGGCCAACCCAATCAAGTACCACTCCTTCTTTACCCATTACTACTGCATGAATTGAACCTCATTTTTTCCTCACAGCAATCTTTGAGCCATGCTTTGATCTTATTTACCCAAAGCAATTTTGCTCATGGCCCAGGTAACAATCCATGAATTATTACCTTTCAGTTTGGGTTTTAATTTAACCTCCAGGTGTTCATACTCCTTCAGCACAACTTCATGCCGAGTTCACCCTTTGTTGATACCATCATGCACCATCATAACAGGGTCCTTCCCTTCCAACTCCAAGTTGCTCTCCAGATCTGAGGAAATTTCTTTAACCCCAGCATTGGCACCAGACAGACAAAATGGCCACCAAGATTCATGCTTTCAGCTGCAAAGAATAGTATATATTCTCCTAACTATACTGCCCTCAAGTACTACTACTGCATCATTTTAACACCACCCCATTTGAATAGCCCCCTCAATACAGTGCCATGGTCAGCGTGCTCACTCTCTTTGCTGTGTCAGCTCTCGTTCACACAGGCTGCAAGAATCTAAGCCAGTTATAAAATAACAACACGATTTGTTTGGTGTTTCACACAAAGAAATATTTTCTACCTTAGTCCAAATGCCTTTGAACATTTAAATTTTTCATTACAATCCTGATTATTTCTCCTCCTTCCCAGATTTGTCCAACATTGACATTCACCAGGTTCTATTTATTTCACAGAAATTAATTAACTTCACAGACCATTTCATTTTGATAGCAGACTAAAGATCTACAAGTAACTTAAACATGAGTTTGTACATAAAAGTTAAAATACATACAACATAAACTGTCAACAAATCATTAGTTATTTTCCCTCAGAGAATGAAATAGTCACCTGAGACTGCATAATTCAAAACAGTATTCAGAAATATTCTTGAGCTATTCCAAATTATCAGTTATTCCCTGCATGGAATGATCTGCAATATGCAAAAACCTTTAATGTGAGTTAAATATTCTTTCGAATTTGTTAAATATATACTGAAATTGAGTAAGTACTTGGTACCAGCACTTTGTCAATGAATACAAGCAATCAGCAGATGTACTTTTTTTTATTAAAATTCATTCTTCATCAGCTGTAATTTGTTTCTGCAGGCACAAGGTCCCTACCTCCAGTCCATATCTCAGTTAAATGATATACAATATGGAGTACCATGTGCAGTGCTATGATTTCCCACAAAGGTAAGTTACCAATATTAGCTAGGTAGCAGCGCATTAGCTTTGCAAGCCATTTTGTTCTGATAGTGAATTGTTAATCTCCAAGTGATTAAAACACAGGTTGTAAAAGTTGAAACACAAACACAAAAGGTAAAGGGCATAAATTGCCTGCAAACTGTTCAGGTGCAATTATTTTCCAAGAATGAAAGTCATTCTAGTGTACATGATTCATGAATTCTGGGAAACAGACTTAAGCCAAGGACTTTTATAGGGACTGGGCAAGTCACCACAAGCAACTCCTAATATCCTCAACAGTAGACTAACTGACACCTACTCATATGATGAGCAGACAGTGATTTGCAAGAGATCTCCAGGCCATGTTGAATTGTATCTCAGTCTTATTCAGAAGAGGAGAGAATAATAGAGCCAAATTTATACCTTGATATGGCAAGAATCAGGGAGGATTGTGACATTGTGGTAATGTCAGTAGACTGGATTGCAGGTGCCCAATGTAACGCTCCAGGCCTACATCTTGATTCAAATCCCATCAACTGAATTTAAATTCAATGAATTAAACATTTGAAATTGAAAGCTCAGCTCAGCTCAGTAAAAATGATCAGGAAACTATCACTGATTATTGTAAAAATCCATTTAGTGCTTCAATATTTTTTATGGTAGGACATCTGCCATCCTTATCTAGTGCCAGACCCACAAAAATATAGTTAACTCTTACCCTGCTCTTAAGGACAGTTAGAATAGCAACAAATGCTGACCTTACCAACTGCACCCATATGCACTAACAAATGAAAAATAGCATTTATGCAATCCATGTCCTCCCTTCAATGAACTGATCTTGCATAAACCCATCAATATGTGGCTCAAAACCTGGTTCACTGATAGTGACACGTTTTCCTTTACTTGAGACAGCTCTTCCAGTTATATACTTGGTGAAAACATGACTTTTACATCTAAGTTTCACCCCAAACTGTTAATACCTTGAGGTCCTTGGACAGAAAAATCTCAACCCTTTTTTTCAGCTCCTTATCAACAACTGCCATCTGACCCCCATCAGCAACTTCTTATTTTTTTCTCAATCATACTTCGATCCTGTCCATATAAGCTTGTCTCCAGTTCTGTCCATAGCTTTTCAGCTCCCACCTCACAAATTCCACAACTGCCTCATCTTTTTGACATGGATCACAACTGTCACAGAACCAAACAGCTAATAATCTGAGATCAGGTCCTGGCTCATTTATGATTGTACACATAGCAACAAGATCAAATTATTTAATTCCCTACAACATCAGAGGGGTCTCTACAGTTGAGCCCCCATACCCACCAGCTCACCCAAATACAAGCAATTCTGATATTTATTTGATGTACAGCTAAATTTTAAATTCCACATAATTATATAATTATCAATGCATAGTTACATATCTGAGATAACAAGGTTTAGAGCTGGATGAACACAGCAGGTCAAGCAGCATCAGAGGAGCAGGAAAGCTGATGTTTCGGGTCTGGACCCTTCTTCAGAAATGAAACGTCAGCTTTCCTGCTCCTCTGATGCTGCTTGGCCTGCTGTGTTCATCCAGCTCTACAACTTGTTATCTCAGATTCTCCAGCATCGGCAGTTCCTACTATCTCTAGTTACATATCTCATCTTTTGTTCTCTATCACATTCCAGCTCTTGAAATTTTCTTCCATTCCCTAGTCATTTTAAGACTGAATGTTTCCAATACTCTCCTGACCTTCACTTCATAACTTCCAATAGGATCAGAATATTACAATTCCTTTAAAATTCTGTGCAAAATGATACTATTCTCATTATTCTTTCTTATCTACACCAACCTGATTTAAAACTACAAACCTCAAATCACCCCTATTTTTAATCAGAAGTTGTCAGATGGAAATAATTCTGAGACATCAATTGATGAAAATGCCCAAAACATTTAAGTGCTACATTAAGAAAGAGTTTTCCCCCATTTTATTTAAGTATATTGAAACATCCGAGGTTTGAAAATTATTTGCTATTTTCTATAAGTGTATCATTTTAATTCAGGTTCAGAAATGTATTGGACTCAACTGCTTTAACACTTTTTCACTAATATACTGCATTTCAGTATTTTATTTATAAGTATTAACAACATTAATTCACTTGAAATGGTTAAATCAATCTATAGAATTTGATATCCCTATTTCACACAAATAAAAGGTTCGAAACTAAAGAGTTAGATTACTAGAAGGACCAATTAGTAAGGATCGATTTCTTTACTGAAAGGTCAAATATTAACCTATTTATGATTGCTTTACCGTAGTACTCTGAAGTTAAAAACTCATACACTATATTTAAAAAAACAGGTTTTCATTTTATTCTTTTTGATGGGGAGGGGGCGCAGGAAATTCCGATCCAACTTCCAGTCGCATTTTTACGTCCTCTAACAAAACGAAATGAAAAGCAAACTTACAAACATTCGATGTCTTTGGTATATTTCAACACAGACGTTAACGAATCCGAGCGGCTGACAGATACAGCACAGAGCAGTGCCTTGTACAGTGGGTACAACACCAGCATCCACTCACAATGTTCACTGCTGCTGTTATTGCTGAGAAAGACTGCCCCCACTACCCGAAAAGAGTGAATAACTTTCAACTCACCTCTCACGCATGGGTTTCGCTTGGCTTTGATTTTAATGTAGCTATTCTTGATGTGCTTCCAGCCAATCTAAAGAGCGGGGAGCATCTTAGATGCGGAAATCGCATGATTCAGATCCACCTTCCATGTAGCTACACACAGAGCTGGGATCCCCCCCCCGTCCAGTCGCTCCCCTGTGCTGCTGATACATTGTATCCCGGCTTTGCTACATTGTGACCACCGAGAATGCGCGCCCCGTCACGTGTCCCAGCAGCTTCAGCCACTTCCCCGCCGCTGCCACAGGCGGCGCTGTCTGGCCGTGGGTCACGTGGTCAGGCGGCCGCCCTTCGCCGCGCTCAGCCCGCGGTCCGGAGTGATTGACAGCTGCGTTCCAAACCCTCCCCGGGACATTGGTCAAAGCTGCTCCGCTCACCCACTATGCAAAGCCAGGAAGCAGCATCTTCAGTCTCATATGTCGCGTCGCTGTGCTCACCACAGTCTTCCTACAAAGAGAGAAGGAGAAAACAAGCCCCGGTACATTACCTGGGAAATCAACACAGCTTGTGTGCAAAGCGATGGAAACTGCAAATGTCAAATCAGAGAACACAGATCGCACCATGTCCTCTTCATCTGCTAGGTCATGTATAATAATAGAGACCAAAAACGATTATTTGATCCATCGTGCCAATTAGTCTTGATTTCTCCTTATCTTTTATCTTTAAGTATTTATCATATTCCCTTCTGAAGGTTAGTACTGAAATAAGGAGGAGACAGGTTCAATCGAGACATTCAAGAAGGTGTTAGACAATTATGTACATCAAACTAGTGTGCAGTGTTAACATGGAAGGGGTGGAAGGATGGCATTGTTATATTGCTCATTCGGAAAGCAAGTGCAGACAAGATGGGTCAAACGGCTTCCTGTACCGTCACTATTCCATGATTCTGTTCTATGATTAACCATAACACAAATTTCCAAGTATAAATGTTTTCACAAGTTTTACAAAATTTGTTATGCTTTTAATGAATTAAGAGAAATAAAACTAGTCGTGTTTCATTGATCGACTTTGGAAGACCAGATTGTGACATTGGTTGATTTAGCACAGGTCCCTTGTTCTTTTGTTTATTAAAGTTCTCTGTATTCAGTCTTCCTGCTGGTGAACCAAACCACTAAGAATAATCATTTAATAACCTTTGCTTGCCACTACCATTTGTACATGATCAGGCATCCTGAACTCTAATTGACCTTCCAACAACTGTGTGGTCAATCCCGGAATCGGTCATGTGGTCTACATCTAATTCTTGAATGGTTTCTTTAAAAGCAATGGTTATCGAAGTGACAGTGCTTCTGACTGTCTCTTTCAATATCAGTCTCACTTGGTAAGACCATCCCTTTTATGACAACCTTTCTGTCTTAGCTTATCAACTCCATACATCTTCACCAAGATAAAATGGCACCTTTAGAGCAATGTATGTGTCTGCTTAGAGTATGAAGCATCACCTTTCAGTGACTTAATATCATTCTAAATGTCCCACCTAGTATGTATAAATGTTTCCCCAAAACCTATCAATATCCTTTAACTAAAAGAACTACGAGGAATTGCAATATCTAAAACAAATTAAAATTCAAATAACCATCCAAACTAATATATACATATATATACTTACATACAAAGGGTGGAGCTGGAAGAAGACAGCAGACCAGGCAGCATCAGAAGAACAGGAAAGCTGACGTTTTGGGTCAGGTTCCGACCTGAAACATCAACTTTTCTGTTCCTCTGATGCTGCCTGGCCTGCTGTGTTCTTCCAGCTCCACACTTCGTTATGTCTGACTATAGCATCTGCAGTTCTTACTATCTCTATATGCTTATATACTTTGTGTTACAAAACTAAACCAGTTTAAAATATATCTGTGGCCTTGATTAAAATCCTTTTACCTCAAAACATTTTCATAATTTTTCCTGTAAGTACCAAATTGTAATCTGTGTCTCTTCACTACAATATTTATTTTAACTTGGACTATGAAACAGCAGTAAAACCATGAACAAAAACAGAAGTTACTGGAAGCTCAACAGGTCTGGCAGCATCTGTGAAGAAAAAATCAGAGTTAACGTTTTTGTTCCTGATTTACAGCATCCGCAGTTCTTTTGGTTTTCTTTAAATAAAACCATGAACTAATGACATTACATTTGAACTGGTCTATCAGGTTTTCTTTATTAAAAAAAAACTTAATTCTTCACTTGCTCAATCAGGTCAAAATGATTAGTTATTGACAAATCACCCGATTCATCAATCTGTCTTCCTCTACAAAACAATTCTCTCATCTTTGGTGGCACCACTATGATGAATCTTCTCCTCACTCACTTCACAGCCTTGGTATCCATTCTGAAGTGTGGTACCCAGAATCAGGTACAATTATCTAGCTAATAGCTACCAGGTTTATCACTCTTCATTAGAGTGAAATGTTTTTGTACTTTGTGAAACAGAAAATAGGAGCAGGAGTAGGCCATTCAGCCCTTCAAACCTGCTCTGCTATTCAATATGATCACAGTTGATCATTCAATTCAGTACACTTTCCCACAGTTCACACTTTCATCCATACTCTTTGCTCCCTTTAGCCCTAAGAATTATATCCAGCCTCTTCTTGAAAATATTAAATATTTGGCCTCATATGCTTTCTGTGGCAGAAAAGTCCTCAGGCTCAATATTCTCTGCATCAAGCAATTTCTGCTCATCCAAGTGCCAAATGGCCTATCCGTCTTCTTAGACTGTGACCCATGGTTCCTGACTCCCAGTAATCCAGAAAATCCTTTCTGTGTTTACCTTGTCTAGTCCAGTTAGAAATTTATAGGTTTCTTTGAGATCCCTCCTTATTCTTCCAAAATCCAATGAATGAGGTTAAAACTGATCCAGTCGCTTATTCTTCAGTCCTGCCATGTCAGGTATCAGTGTGATAAGACTTTGTTGTATTGCCTCCATAGCCAGAATATCCTTCCTCAGATAAGGAAACCAAAACTGTGCACAATTCTCTAGGTGTGGTCTCACGAAGGCCTGTACAATTGTAGCAAGACATCCTTGCTCTTATACTGAAATCCTCTCGTTGTGAAGGCCAACAAACATTTGCCATCTTTGCTACTTGCTGCCCCTGAATGCCCCTTTCAGCAAGTTGTGTACAAGTATATCTAGGTTGTATTGCACCATCCCCTTTCCCAATCTGTCACCATTCAAATAATAAACTACATTTCGACTTTTGCTGCCAAGTGGATAACCTCATATTTATCTACATTATGCTTCATCTGCCATCTTCATGACAAATTACTCAACTTGCCCAAGTCACACTGTAACATCTTTGCATCCTTTTCATAATTCACCTTCCCGCCCAGCTTTGTATCATCTGAAAATGTGGAGAAACTACATTTAGTTCCCTCATCCAAATCATTAATGTAAATTGTGAATAACTGGGGTCCAAGCACTGATTCCTGCCGTATCCCACTGGAATTGGCTCTCACTCAGAAAAAGACCAGTTTATTACTACCCTTTGTTTCTCGTCTGTCAAGCAGATCTCTATCAATGTCAGTACTATCCCCAAATCCATGCTTTAATTTTACATGCTAATCTTTTAAGAGGGTCCTTATCAAAAGCTTTCTGAAAGTTCAAGCAAATCATATCCACTTGTTCACACCCTTATCAATTCAACGAGTTACATCCTCAAGACATTCCAGTAGATTTGTCAAGTATGACTTGCCTTTCATAAATCCATACTGATTCTGTCCAATTCTGTCACTGCTTTCCAAGTTCTCTGCTCTTAAATATTTTAATATGGATGTTTGCATTTTTCCTCCTACTGAAATCAAGCCGACTGGTCTAAAATTTCCTATTTTCTCTCTACCTCTTCTTTAAATAATGGGGTCACATTGGCTACCCTCAAATCCATAGGAACTGGTCCAAAGTCTATAAAATCTTTAAAGATGACCACCAATATATCCACAGTTTCTAGGGCCACCTCCTTAAGTACTCTGGGATATAGATAATCAGGCCCTGAGGATTAACCTTTAATACCATAAATTTCCCTAACACCATTTCACTACTAATACTGATTTCCTTCAGTTCCTCCCTCTCACTAGACCCTATGTTCCCCAAAATTTTTGGGATGTTATTTGTGATCTCCTTTGTGAACCAAAATATGTATCTGATTGGTCTGCTATCTCCGTTCCCCATTTAACTTACCCTGTTTCTGACTATAAGGTCATTTGTCTTCAATCATCTTTCTTTCTTCACATGCTTATGGAAATTTTTACAATCAGTTTGTGTGTTCTCCTAAGATGACTCTTTTACTCTATTTTCGTCCTCTTAATCGGTCACTTTTTCCTCCTTTGCTAAAATCGAAACTGCTCCCAGTCCTCAGTTCTGCTACTTTGACTAATTTTTATGACCCTTCCTTGGATCAAATACTATCCCTAAATTACTTTGTCAGCCATGGTCGGGTCATCTTTCTGATTTTGTTTTATACCAGGCAGTATTGAATAATTGTCACATTTCCTTCTTTAAATGTTTGCCATTGCCTATCCACCATCATCCCTTTAAATAACATTCTCCAATTTATTATAGCTAGCTCACACCTCAGACTATTGTAGTTTCATTTATTCAGGAGCATAGTGTCAGATTCACCAATGTCACTCTTAATCTTAATGAAGATTTCTATCATATTATGGTCACTCTTCCCCAAAAGGTCTTGCACAACTAGATTGCAAAGCATTTCTTTCTCATTACACAATATCTGATCTAGCTTGGCCTTCAACTTATTGACCCAGAAAACTAACTCTTACACACTCCAGAAACACCTCTGTGGTATTGTTGCTGATTTGATATGCTCAATCTATATGCAGATTAATATCACCCATAATTACAGGTGTACAACTTTTTTGTCCGCATCGCTAATTTCCTGTTTAATGTAACCCCCATTGTAAACCTAAGGATCCTATCTACTTTATAAGCATAGAACATAGAACATTACAGCGCAGTACAGGCCCTTCGGCCCTCGATGTTGCGCCGACCTGTGAAACCAATCTGAAGCCCATCTAACCTGAACTATTCCATTATCATCCATATGTTTATCCAATGACCATTTAAATGCCCTTAACGTTGGCGAGTCTACTACTTTTGCAGGCAGGGCATTCCACGC